TACTACCTTTTTTAAAATCAATATATTATATTGAAAGTCAGAGTAAGTTTTTCATATCATCCTTTAGTATATTTTGAAAACTACTTAATATGCATTACAGAAAAATACGTTTATAACAATGGTTTTCTTATTGTTCGAGTCTTCCTTCAAGAGCTTCAATTATGCAAAATATATATAAGAATAATACAATTCAAATTATAAATTTTATTTTTAAACCGAATATTTTAACAAAACAAATAAATATTATTACAATCAATTTCTATACTAGTGAGTTTAAAATAACAATAAGAAGAACATTTATTGAAAGGAATTAGTATACATTATTTATATGGGAAGTGAACACTTCGAGTAATCAAATCCAAATACAAGTACATTTTAATAAAATGTATTGCTTACTACTGTAATGCACTATAGTACTATACTGATGTATGAATTTTATAAATTTCAGTGTTAGGCCTTTTTGTTTAAGGTCATACATAAACTATATAAATCCAAAATAATATATTTGTTATTATATAATAATGTAAAAGTAACACATTTTATTTTACAAAAATTATATGTGACTACTGATCTAATGACATACCGACTACTGAATTTTAAATCTGGTGTGAAAATAAAAATATATTATAAATAAAATATTGAACTATCAATAACTCTATATTGATTATAAAAACAACTACTTATTGATATTTAAAACATATTTTCCGAGCAATTAGTTTGCATTGTCAGTGAAAAATATGAATATTAATTATTTATAAAACTATGTACATCAATCTTGTAGAACATTTAAAATATTTTGCCCCTAAGTCTATATTTTTTATTTTTTATTATTTATTTTTTTTATTTAAAATACAAAAAAATATAATATAATATACAAAGTCAATATTGAATCTATTTGATCGATACTTCAAAAAATGTTAAGAATATATTATTTTTTGCAAATATTATTATATTATCACAATGGTGCTATATGTGGTACGGAATTATTCTTTATTTTTGATATTTGAAATTCAAATACACCTCTATAAATACACTTTTATAAATAAATTAGAAAACAAATTCAGGAAAACGTTTAAATACAAGAATCTTCGGTGAAAATTCAAAGTGTATATTGGCTATAATTTTGGCTATAACTTAAACTTTAAATTTGAAATAGAATTACATTTAAAAATTTTTTTTAATGTAGGTTTTTTAACTGTAATTTTTAAATTAAAAGACTAGCAGTAAAGCTCATATAAATCAGTAAATTATATTCAAGTTAAATATATAATATTAATATCTAACATTGCCGTATACATAATTTTTTTATTAAAATGAAATATATTTTCCAACCAAACCTTATGATGTAAAAGCATAGTCAATATATGATGTTAATTTTACTTATGCAATTGTTCTTATATTATTATTTGAATTTGTATTCCAAATTAAACTGTTATTAAATGTAAAGGATTTTAAAACCTTTGAGTTAGTCATAACAATATTAATTACCTAGGAAATTTCCGTGATAATACATAATTATAATATAAGCCTCTCAAATATATGTTAAATTTAATACCTCATATTACATCGTAATACGTATAGTGGGGTCGTGTGTTTAGTGAGGTGATTAAAATCACCGACGTTTAATTAATTATTTAGAATCAGGTGAAGTTGGTTAGAGCTATATACTGTAATAATAGGCCAATAAATAACAAATTAATTATTATTAAACCAACCTAGTCTATCTGTGTAATATGTTCCAGAAGCCTGATGGTGATGATTTTTTAAATGCAATCAACTAAATGTCTCAGCCGATTTTTGTGTTGTTGTACTAGATGGTACTAAATTATAGCGAAAAATTGATTAACCAAGTACCAGTCGTCTGCACAACTCCAGAACGATGATAATTTTTTTTTTTTTTAAACAATTTATGAGTACCTATTGGCTATTATAATGGTAATGTTTATTTTTCTACGTATAACTGAGTTTGCATAAGCGAGTGCATCACGGTTGTCGAGCTGTAGTCAATCACTCACACTGCATACTTTCTATGAGTGAATCGTGAAATCAAGAATGCAACCGTAATCACAATAATATGATCAGGACGGAAATATAGTATTTGTTTTCTCTATCAAAATAAATTGTTATGAGCTTTTTGGTAAGGTAATTTTTAAATTATATTTTGGAATCATAAAGGGTAGATTTATACCAATTTCAAGTAAGTGTTTAAATATCAATCTTATAATATTTGAATTACCGGTAAATTAAATACAGCTTCATTGGGCGAACTAAGGCAATATTATATAACTGTGAATGGATAGCTAAAATGCCTATCCACAACGCCGTGTTACAAGGGTGATATTATTTAAACAAGGTAAAAAAAAATATACATTATAATCTCACGTTTTGTCTTAAAATTGTATAAGTTAGAAGAAAATTACAGCCGAAAAGAACACCTATGACTATAATAATGGTAGTATCGAGACAAAAACTATGTACATGCATAATTACTCGTATAATTACTGTACCTACAGGTTAGAAACGTTTTATCATACGAGTAATTTCCAATAATATTATATTTTAATTAATAGTATATAATGCATTATTACTAAATACTATACATACGCGTATCGATATAGAGTAATTGGGAGTATACCTACGTCCATATTATTATATTGATTATCCCCGTGATTGTAACTCTTGTTAGGATGCCTTTAAAGTTTATAGTTTATTTTGCTACACACAACAGTTATTAATATTTAATACTCTAGTACCTACCTATACGAATATATTGTTATGGTATGTGGAACAATATTTACAGACAATTTAATACGTATGGGGGAAATAAATACGACCATACGAAGGATTCTACAGTAGTAGGTGTCCCGTGCCTCTTGTCATAATTACAGTAGGTTTGCAATTTCAATAATCAAAGGATGTACAATGAATTCAACTAATTTATTCGATTGCCTATTATAATAATATATAATATTACTTAACGACTACAGTCGTAGTTCTACTTCGAAAATGTCGATTATCGCATTGTCCTCCAATTAGGCAGGTAGTTTAAATAATAGTCATTCTACCTCGTATAGTCGTACTTATACATATTTTAATTACTAAATATTTGTAAAAAACAAAATGAACTGTGCACTTTTACTATTTTTTATATCAATTTTTTTTTATGTTTTATAATTTTATTTCTTCTTATGTTTTTTATGTTCAAATAGTCGAATATTAAATCAACTAATAGTTTATTATTTATATTATGCAAATATCTTTTGAAAGTTAGAATCAGAGGAGTAAACGATAAACAACTCATGACACATCCATGTCAACTACTACCTCTTATAAATACTAACAAAAAACTTATAAAAATTAACTTACCTAATGTATTTTCTATGTTCATTGTTTTATTATCCTGTAGTATTTGTAATATTCTTCTTCGGGATATTAATTAAAAACAAAACTCCTATAGAATGAATATCAATTAAATAGTATTAAATACTAAATAGTAAAAAGTATATTATTTTATTTGTTATCGCAACAATGTAGTGTGATGTTAATAATTCCTATACGGTATACAAAACACTGATAAATATATAAAATGATTAATGAGTGTCTCAATGTCAAAATATCATTCTGTATTGGTTTAATCTTATATCAAACAAAATTTCAGATTATTGGAACATTAGTTCACAAAAATTTAAATAGTTAAATTCAGCAAAAATTTATTAGGTATTTTACTTTCTAATATACTCATTACTTACTATACATTTTATTTATACGAAACATTTTAATCATTCAAATACCTATAGTAATTATAGTCGCTTATTCATCATGATCATACACGAAATTGTAATAACTAGCCGTTCACAAAATATTAAACTAAAATAAGAAAACAATTTGAAAGAATGGATGAAGGTTAAGGCGCATTCACAGCTACTTCGTGTATAGACGTATAGTGTCGTGCGAGGGCTTGGTTATTATATGGTTACGACTGGTCACCAATATGGTTTAAAAGTTGAGCAGTAGGAAATTGTTGGTATACTCGGTTGGTCCTTGGTTATTACATGATACCAAAAAGGCAAAAAACTAAAAAAGTAATATCCAATCACAATACGATTTGATCGACACGACACGACGCAGGCACACCGCTGCGAATCCGGCTTTAAATATTATAACCCATGACAAATAAGACAAATAATCTTATTTGTCATGCTATAACCTACCTTGAATAGGATATTGACATTTTCAATAATTAAACAAATTATAATTTTTAATAATTGATAGCAGGTACTAGGTAGGTACCTAGTCACTACCTACCTATTTATTTTTGAGTTTAAATACATGTACCTAATAGGATTTCGCTTTTCGTGGACTAAATGTTATTAATTAGTAATTAAAAACTTACATATTAAAATAAATGATATTGTATTATGAATTTGTCGCAGAATACAGATATGAATAATAATTCATATTTCATAATAATATAATAATTCACATTCAGATTTATGGATAGCAAATATCCATATTTAGGGAATTTCCTTAGTTTATCAGACACGGTGACGGTGTTGAAAATTCCATAGACATAAATAATAATAATATAATCATAGGGTAATAATAATAATATGGAAAATTAAAAATAACAATGTTATCATCTTTACGATTAGATGATAATGCTTATCAACATATTGTTATCATAACTAAATGCTCTCCTCTTATTTTATTTATTATTATAATTTATTAGTGAATACGTGTAAAATACTAATATGAAAATAATATATCATTCAGTATTTATTATTTAAGTCAGTAATATTAAACATTTAAACAAAATAATAAAATATTAATTATTGTAAATGAAAAATAAAGGCTGTGAAAATAATTTCTAATTTATCAAACTCTTGTGAACTTCTGAACTAACTAACTATTTGGATATAAAATAATATGCAACAACATAATGGTTTGTCTATTTAACTATTTGAAATAAATCACACACAGTTGTTTCTGTACTGTCTAAAATGGAAAATTCTAATTCTTCTTCAACTGCACAAGTACAATCTAACAATTTGGATACACAACAGAGCAATGATAGTGAAGTAGTTAAACCAAGCCAGATATTAAATGGAACTCAAGTATTACCCGATGTCAGGCCATTCCATCCTAGTAAAACTATGCATGAAATGACACCAGGCCCAAAAAAATATCAAAATATTAAAAAGTCACCTGATAAAGAACCAAAATTTGTTCCCTATGAGCCGTACAAGGCAGCAGTTCGTTCAATAGTGCCAGAGTTAGGTCAACCTTCAGTAGCCATATTTAAAAGAAGACTGTCGACTGCATCTAATTGCAGTAAAGTATCCAATGTAACTGAAGATAAAGAAGATGTGATAAGTATGCTGACTCAAGAAAAACAGGTAAAGAAATTGATATTACTCTATATATATTTTCAGCAATTAATACATACTACATGCATCTTAAAATTTTATTTTAGAATCTAGAAGAAGAGGTTGATAAACTTAACACACAGTTAGCTAATATGGATCTCCAAATGGGCTCGCAGGCACAAGTTAATAACGAACTTAAAAGTATGCTTGTTGCATCTATTGGCGAAGACATCGAAGCCAAAATACAAATGTTGACCGAGGATAAAGTATTACTGGCACACAAATTACTCAATTTCACAGGTGCATTAGCTGGTCGACAAGATCAATTAGAAACAGTAGCTGGAGAACGAGATGTGTTACGGAGTAAATTTTTAGCTGGCAGGTAATGTTATAAAACCTTTTATTAGCTATATATATTTATTTAAATTAAATAATATTTTTATAGTTTAATAATAGAAGATTTATCTAAGTGGAAGACATTTCTGTGTGACCGCGTAGATAAATTAGAAGCTTCATTACAATCAGTACTGGACGAAAATCGAAAAAATAGACATCTACTAAAATCGGCACATGAGTATGTTGACAATGAAATGTATGAAGGATTTAATGTATTAATCAAAATATTATGATTTAGGAATTTGAAGATATTACAAAATTTCTATAAACTTGAAGTATTGAATAAACAAAAATTACTAGATAGTACTATAATAGCTGAAGATATCAACAGGATATCATTATTACTTCGAAAACATTTATTAACCCCTCAAATTCAAGAACTCCAAGTACATGCTGCTATCCACCAGACACAAGCTGAATCCCAAGCTCAACAAGTATGTGTTTCTAAATTAGTGTTTGCTCATAACATAAATGGACCTTAGGATAAAAATATTGGGTTAAAAAAGTATGGACAAATAGACTATAAGTCCAAAAAATATACAATATGTTTGAATGAATTTAATTATTTACTAAGTAACAAACAATTTGACAAATATCGACCATACGCCAGATATGTACCTACAATATTATAATGTGTTATGAAATAATATTTTATTATTTTGATAGCATTATTGGATATTATTTTAAGAAAAACATCAAAAGTTATTATCAATAGCCATTGCTTTTTTGAAGTACCTAATAAATACATAATAACGTTAAAGAGATTCATGTCACAAATGTTTAGTTAACTACTAGTAACATTCACTAAAATACATAAATTTTTATCGAATAATCATTAAATTCTTTAATATTTAAAATTCATAAAGTGAGATAATCAATCTCAATTAAACTGTAAAACAAATTTAAATATATTTTCAGATTTTTATCAAATTAATAGTTTTGTTTGTACAATGAAAATAATATAGTTATGTTTTATATCAAAAAACAGTCTGCATCAAATTCCCTTAGTAGAAATAATTTAATAATTTTGGTCGTATTTTACTCAGCCTATTTACGCCCCATTAATAAGTTACAAAATTAAAATATAAAGCTAAAAATATTTATTAATTAATATAAACAAATAATCTGCTTTATAATATTGTTAATATAGGTAAGGTACTAATGTAAATTATGTTCAATGACAATTGACAGTTAACTAGAGGTAATTAATATTTACATATTTAAATATTGGTGACAAAGTAGTAATTAGTAAGTACAGTTCAAACCATGTTCAGAAAAGAAATTATTTAAGAATGTGTTTTTGTATAGACATGAGAATGATTTTTATTGAGTTTAGTAAAATTAATTTTGTGGGGTTGGTTTTAATATTAGGGCAAATTGACTTATGAGTGATCAAACTTACAAAGGTAAAAAGTAAGAATATTATCTGTGTGTGTACATTGGTTTTTTATGATATTTTATTAATTTAAACTCATTACTCCTAAGCAGCTTGAATGAGGAATAACATAAAACAATTTGTGGGATTAATTAAAGTTCATCCCCGGGGGTAATTGTAATGCAAATTAATAGCATTTCATAAGAATACTACATTAGTTCATTTTTTTCACAATTGTCAGTTATTTTATATAAACTATGCAAAACATGTTTTTAAGTGCGCATCTAGGTTTCAAACTCCCGAAGATCTGCCCAAACGTTCTTTAGTATTTAGAATAAGCTCTGCCAATAGTAATATAATGCAGTTTTAATCTATTTTATTTTTGAAAATTAATAAACAATTAACTTGTTTCAACGATATTATAATTTTTTCGGTTCACTGCATAAACACTCCATACTATTATGAAATTATTTTTTACTGTAGACATATTCCATTCTTTAATGTGTATGTGCGAGTCTAGATGAGATCAAATAATAGTTTTGTGATGAATAATTATTATAATAAAATTAAAACTTACCATACAATATATATTATTTTATTTTAATTATATTATATACTTGCTATCCCCCCTGGCCTTGCCCTTGTCAATAAAAAAAATATCATTATGATTGGGCATTGAGGTAGTTTTATGTGTGAAAATAGTATTGGTATAAAAATACTTATATTAACTTCTGATAAATAATTATATACATATAACTTATTTGTATTAAACTATTGTTTCTATCGCTTCCTATAAATTTAATAATTGTATATAGTATAAGTGAAAAATTAAAATATTAAAATTTTTTAAGTGACTATAATATTATATTTATAGTTATAATGTAAATTGTCCATGAAAATTAACATCAATTATGGACATCTTTAAGGGGGCTCCGGTCGGTCGTGTTCTAAGGAAATTAATATAGACAATTTAACATGATGACATTAAAATGACTTGTATGTATGTGCAAAGTAAACAAAGATTAGTATGTGTAACTTTAATTTGTAATCGTTTTCGGTCAATATTTCCTAGAAATGGCCTGAATTATAACAGTAGGCCCACATAATACCGCCCAGTAGGTCGGTCGTTATTTATATTCGCTATAAATTAACTTAGGCACGTGCAGGCATTGACAGAGATTTTAAATTATGATAAACTTTTTTCAATTTAAAATAAGCAGTTTTTAGACCCATAAGCTTGACAAAAGTGGAGGAATTTGGTTTGGCAAATTTTAATTTTGAAAACGGATTGTGATTGATTAAACAAGTTTACTAGGTTTTGCCAGAGGCGATTTTTCATATTCCAATTATTGTTAGTGCATTATGAATAATATAAATACAAAAATATCATATTTTTATTCTTGGATATCACAGCTGAAAAAATAAATATTCAATTCTGTTTATAAAAATAAAATCCGTCAAATCAAATTCCTCCAGTTGTGTCTAGCTTATTGGTCAAAAAGTCACTTTTTTTCATCTACTGGAGTTCCTTTAATAGTAATAATAATAATATTAATTTAATTTTTTGTTTTAGATATTGATACAGAAAATGCCTAGAGAAAAAATGAATAATGTTGATGCAACATGTAATGCCATAATGGAAGCATCACAAGCATTAGAGTCTAATATTCAATTATGTTGTGGTCATTGTACTGGAACCGTTAAACTTATTTAAAAAAACATTATTGTGTTTACCAAAATTTAAAAAAATGTTTAAAATGTTTAAATATTTTATCACTTGTTTTATAAGCTAGAATAACAATTTTATAATTTATGTTGATGTTTAAAATTAAATTAACTTTTTTATACACATAATAATATGTTGTTTTGTCAAATACGCTATGGAACAAAATATATAATATTATTATGGCATAACTTGAAAACAGTTAAAATATAAATGTTTGTTATGAACTCTTCTGTGTGTGAATATGACTTATATTAATTAAAAAAAAACTAACAAAATATATTTTGAACTCAAAAGTAAAAAAATGTGTAGGTTTGCTTTAAACCATATTACGAAATCAATCAATAATGAAAATAACTATCAAAACTTGGAATTATCAGAAAATTATAATTCATATTCTGTTTTACATCATTTAAAAGTAATAGATTTATTGTTAGAATCATTAATTACCCAATTCTCAGGATAATCACTAATTTTTTTTTTTTGTCATATTTGTTTTTTATTTGTACAATCTGTATAAAAAAAATATTTACAATAAGTACAATGGAGATAATGATAATATATTGGTAATTGGACATGGTTGACTTGTTGAAGAGACTAATCACTAATTAAGCCAAAAACAGGCATCTTCTTATTTTGTTTTTTTTTTCATATTATTGGCCTGCTGTTGATTCTAGTTCTATTAAAGTAGAAATATCACAAGTACTACTTTGAATAAGATTTGAAATTTTTGTGTCATTGTCCGTAGAAGGTAATATCTATCACGTTATTAAAAAAAAAAAAAGGAATCAATTTTTTTTTTGTTTTTTGTGTAATTTTATTTTGCTTTTTTTGTATACTGATTTCCACTTAAGTGTTTACGAATTACGGCCATCACTAATGTTAAAAAAGAAAATTTCAAAACATATTTAACAAAGTAAAAATGATAGAAGATAGCACTCAAACGACAAGCTAAATACAAAACACTTAACAGAACGTACCTACTACCTATCCAATTTATGTCCAACGTATACTAAACTAAAAGCAAAAGCCTGAAAATTTAAAAAACAAAAATACAAATACAGATTAACTACCTAACCGTATTATGCAATTTACATAGCATACTATTAATTGGTCAAAGTTTATTTCATATAATACGTCAATACATTCATACAAATTTCTAAAAGGAAAGAGTAGTAGACACCATCTCAACTTCACTTGAACGGAAACAATATTGCTCCTGTATCTTCCTCGATATCTCTCATGCATTCGACCGGCACCTCTTTAAACTTCAAAATTGCCTCCCATCACCTCTATTTCTGTTAATTAAATCTTACCTAACAGATGGATACTTTCAAACTCGCTTTGGCTCGTGCATCTCAGAAATGGCTTTAATCCAAGCTGGAGTACCTCAAGGTGGTATCCTATCTCCCCTTCTATTTAACATATATGCCTCAGACCAGCCCATAACACAAGACACCCTTGTAGCCGATTTAGCAGATGATAAAGTGATAATATCAATACATGAAAATCATTTAATTGCAATCTCCAAAAAACACTTAGACCTTATTTCGCAATGGTACTCCAAATGGAGAATAAAATTAAACCACAACAAGTCGGTGCACACAACCTTTACGATAAAACACGGAATTTGTCCACCAGTATCTGTGGACAACATACATATTCCGCCGTCTGACACTGTTGAATACTTAGGGTTGACTCTTGACAAAAGACTAACTTGGAAACAGCACATAAGGTCCAAAAGACTAATTTTAAACACTCACTCTCTCTCCCTCAAACACCTCATTAAAAAATAAATTCACTAAACTAGAAACTAAACTCCTCGTCTCCTCATATATAACTATATAAGTCATTACTAAAACCCATTTGGACTTACGGATTACAATTGTGGGGGTCGGCCAAAAAAACCAATATTAATAAAATCCAGGCTTTCCAGAACATCACTCTACGCTGAATAGCAAATGCCCCACCGTATGCATCCAATTAACCCTCCACAATGACATGCGCATGAAAACGATTGAAGAAGAGTCAGTGATTTATTACAAGCGATTCTTTTCACACCTAGCCAATCACAAAAATCCACTAATCAGGAATCTAAATACTGTAACTTTGCCCGAAGCTCCTCGACGTCGTATGAAAAGGAGATGGTATAGGGACCTTCTAATCTTATAACTCCAAATGATCTTATACCTTGCTTACACACTTCACTCTTCCTCTCCACCAAGTCATGGATTAACATAATCTGTGTTCATGCTAAGTGTTGCTAATGGGTGACTTCTTACCCATGTATTATCCTGCTTGTTTACTCTCTTCAAATACACTTATTGTGCTCTTAGTATAGACTGTGTAATTCTTATAAGAAATAAAAATAAAAAAAAAGAAATGATAGAAGACTGCACCCAAAAGATAAGCTAAATATAAAACACTAAACAAAACGTGCCTATCCAATTTATGTCCAACGTATACTAAGCTAAAAGCAAAAGCCCAAAAATTTAAAAGGCAAAACAAAATACAAATACAGATTAACTACCTACATAAAATCATGAATTTGCTTAAGATAAAATTAAAATCCATAATTGTTTTTGTGTCATGCAGCTTACATAGCATACTATTAATTGGTCAAAGTTTATTTCATATAATATGTCATCACATTCAAACAAATTTATAAAAGGAAAAAAAAAGATTGAGATGAAAATTTTCCCTCTTTTGAAATATTATCGCTGTAAGCTTGTGATTACTTTGCTTCTTGGCTATAATACCACTTTATTATTATAGCAACTTGACAGAAAATAATGATCCAGTAATTAGGAAGGAAAATTTTGAATTAGATATTTTTTAATTGGAGTGCAATTACCAATATTGTAAAGTCAAATGATATTATATTGAAAAAATAGGTATACAGTTCCTGAAGTCCAAATAAAAATTACTACCAAGGAAATCAATGGAAATATAACATTAACACAAAATTAACAAACTGATTAGTGTTGAATTGAAGATGGTTGTAATGATGATAATATGATACTCGTAAGTTATAAAGCTTATTCATAAATTTATATACAAACAAATTTCAAAAGCAATAAAATATAACATTTATTATTGATACTTAAATAATTAAAGTTATAGACATTAACATAATTTAAGTATTTATATTTTAATATGTATATCAATGCTTTATTTAGTGTTTGTAATGTTAAATTTACATACAAATATGAGATCAGTATTAAAGAAAAAAAAATACATCCACTAAAATGGTAAATAACAAAAAGTTATATATTTAAAGGTTCAAGTAGTTCTGATACATTTTTTGAAATGTTAGATTTGTTAAACATTGATGAACAGCAAATCTGAAAATTAAATATCAATATAAAATGTTTATTTGTGATAATGTACAATGAAAATAAACACAATAATTTTATTAATATGTACCTTTATCGTAGGAAGTCGTGCATTGTCAGATTTATATTCGTATTCGTCTACATACAAAGATTGTAAATATATCCATACAAAATCGGAATGTTTTGCATGTACTTTTCTGTAGAATTCTTTAGATATTTTCTATAGTAAATTAACAATATTTATTATTTTCAATATTCAGTTATTACATTTTAAAAATAATAAATATTAAATACCTGCAATTCGATTGGCTGGTCTTTTTCTAAATAATGTGCAACAGAATTGGACACATCGTACATATCTTTCTCTAAAAAATTCAAATTTAGGACAAAATCTGCTAAACCACTCAATATGGTATATTGCATTTTATATTTGTGGCTTGTAAAGTAAACACTTCCTTTTAAAACATTATTACTTTCCTTTGCGCTAGACGCCAAGCGTTCTATTATAGTTGGCAAAACTTGCCTAGAAATTTTAAAAAACACAAGTTAGTATTTATTTAGTATTCATTTTTTTCTAACCTACTTGAGTGAACGGGAACGAATAAAGTCTTTGGCTGTTGTTGCCATTGTGGTCAACACGTTGAATGCTTCGCGAAATACTATATCATCAGTATTGTTATTAAATTTAGTACACAGTGGTGACCATATTTTATGAACCATTGGCAACAATTGATTCTCATAGTTAGATATTACATTTAAACCTTCATTAAGGATCTACAAGAATTAAATTATATTCATTATCTCACAAAATCTATTAATTTGTAATGAATAAAATACTTGTAATGGAAGAGAATTGTGTTTTGATGGTAAATAATGCAATACGCGTTTCATTATAGATAGGACCATTTGTATGTATGGTGGTAATGGTTTTTTGTTATCTTCATCATCTTCATTATATTCTTCATCAATGTTTTCATTGTTTTCACTGAAATTAAAATTCTTTAATTCAATTCTAAAAGTTATTAAAGAACAACAATTTAAATAATTATACCGAGGTGCATTGCTATTGATGTCGTTTTCCCAATATTCATCATCCAAATTATTTTCCAAATCCAAGGTCATCATTTTGTGATACTCCAAAATATTTTCTATTACACAGTTACTTGAAGATTTTGATTTTTCTATATGGTCAGTTATTGGTGTACATTTTTGTTCCCGTTTTCTCACACACATCACAAATATATGAAACACTTTCATGAAAGAATGCATATTTTCTGTACGATGAACATCACAACTTTGTACAAGAACCTATAAATTATTGAATTTAATAAACATTTAAACATTTATTGAAACAAACATTTTTCCAACTTACTTCAGTAACCATAGTGTGGAAAGATTGTAGAAGATCATCACTGCCATTTAGATTCATCACCACTTTTAAAGCGTTTAATACTTCTGGGTGTTTGCTAAGGGACCATAGCTTGTTAGTGAAATGATGAGATAAATAATCAGAATTTTTTACAACAAGATCAATTGGATTGCTGTATCCACCAGAGCGAGCAAGTAATGTTATTGCTCCTTGACCTAAAGTATGACAATTGTGTAAATCACCTAGTTAATTTACAAGGTATCAAAATATTACCAGCTAATGAAATA